GACTATACTGTCCGATTACAACTATACAGAGTGATAAGTGGAATATAAAGCAGCTGATGCACCAATCACATTTGAGGAGATTGTAATGGTTATGATTAAAGGTGCAATTGAAGGGTAAACTATTTGAATTAATTGAATTCAACCAAAAACAGGAAGAGAACGCGAACACCGTCCATGACAATGAAGTTCTGTAAGAAAAGTTCAAGGCAACAAACAAAATATGACGAGTATGCGAGCGGTTTGATCACTGAGATTGATTTGAACAGTTTTCGTTCAAGGATTAATTTATCTGAAAGCCACACTCAACTCTTAGTTTTTTGGGTTTTAACGATAGGGAGAAAAAGTTTTCGGTTAAGAGGGGATTCATTTTCAGTAAAATTTTTTATGATTACGGCCTTTAAAATACTGTTACCATATGTCTGTATTGACATCTCAATTTTTCCAGTTATTATTGAGGAGAGATGCTTTTTTTCAGCTTTCACTTGTAGTGAGCCGAGTCTTTTATCACTTTTAATTCGTCGTGATAGCTGTGTTTTAAATAAGTGCAACTAAAGGTATGAAATCGACATTTGATGTCACACGGAACCGGTTCACTTCCTTATCCATTCATTCATGCATGTTATTCCTGATTTTTTAACGGGATCATTTGCTGTCTTCCGTTTGGATAATTTGCAGTTTTGTTTGAGGATTATTTGCTGCCCTGAGCTGCACTGTACTGATATTTTTCCTTTTTTTCAAAACTTAATCTTGCGAAGCCTTTAATCTTTTTTTATTTCATATGTTACCCGCAAAAGCACAAAATTTTATCATTTGCCAATTTGTTAAGATATTCATCAACTAATCGATATTCAGATGCCTATTTCTAGACTAAATTATTGTAAAGAATATGTTTGGTTTTGTTATGGTTATTTGATGATTATCTTTAATGCGGTCTGATTTTCAAAAGTACTCAAAAGTGCGCCCCATTTCAAGGGAGCAAAAAACACTAGTATTCAAGTCACAAACACTCCAAACTCCGCATTTCATCATTCGTTGGTGATCCTGAAAAATTCATCCAACTTTAAAAAAACTTCCCTACTATAGATCTCTTTGCAAACGTTGTGAGGAAAATAAAATTATGGCAATTTACCTTCAATCGCTGTAACTGATTTACAATTTCCGCTAACTATAATTATAAAGTTATTAGTTTAAATGACAAGGTGAACGACTTTTCTTTTATAAACAAAGAGGGATGGTGGGAAAACGCGAGAGATGTTTGTGACCCACGAGCCTGAGGCGTGTAGTTGACAGACTCTTCCAGGGTGGAAGATATGAATCCGTAGAAAAGCCGAAGACGTTGGTCCCTAGGACGGTAGACGTGTATCCTGAGGTAGCAAGGACTCACCTGCCTCGGAAAATTTAGACGTGCTACTTGTGTTAGGCTTGATGCTATTTATAACAAAACAACTAGAGTAACAGGGTACACACTCTCCCTTATATATCTTTAATTAAGTCGAAGTCGACACTTCGCACCACATCCTAGTTTACACTACGATGGCTAATACCTAATACAATTCCACAACGTGTCTTTCGGGGCCACTACAAACAAATTGTAAATAAACATTATAAATAGACATAGAGCCAGTTATTCATGGCTAAATACAAAGTGCAACCTAGGAGTTGAACTCGGGGCAACCAAGAACAAAATTAATTCCGTGAGTAGTAGAGTAGAGGGCTTGAACCTTGGACCACCAGATTCATACGTCCAGTCCCCTTAACACTGCCACACTTCCTCCACAAATTATACATATGTTAAAGATAGTTTATTATTTTCATCTTTTACTTATTTATAAGAGATTCATATATTTTAAGAGTCAGTGGTGCAATCATTTCATCCTTTTGAGGTATCAATGTTTGAAGCTAATCATTTTAGGCCAGCAAGTAAACTGTATTACGCGTGTAAGGTTGTTATCATAAATGATGTAACTTAAGTTACCATTGTAAATAGTAAGTATAGTATAAACCAAAAATACAAACAAAGCAATGACTTACCCATTTGTAAGCTTATTAAAAATATTTTCTGACGATGCAGATGTTGTTTTAACACTTGAGCTCAAAAGCCTCGATCATATGACTAGCCCTGATCTGATATAGACTTGATCACGCTTATATTGATGCTAATCATTTCTATAAATAGAAAACTCCATCGTTTTAAGAGTCACAAGCTTGCAAAGTCTCCCTCAGGGCCAAACAGGTAGATAATTACCATTCAAGTGACGATATCCGGTTGAGTTGGACGATCAATGACCTAGAAAAAATGTCAGTTGCACGTTCAGACCTCTAGATTTGTGTAGTAGCCTGTGGTAAGCTCAAGGTGGTCTAAATATGCAAAATACTATTGCGCGAAAAAAAACGAGAATCAGACAGAGAGAGTGCACCAGATTTTATATCCGACTTCAGATCAAGATAAGCTTTCTTGAAGACCGTCACAAAACAGCTTTGGACGATTTGAAATCTGAGGGGCTAATTTGCTCCGTGTCGATCGCCCACATCCTGGGCCTCCGGAGCAAAAAGCGCCTGGAGATCTCCATGTCATTTTTACTCCCCTTAGTCAGGAGGCCACCGCGTCTCCTGCGCTTCTATTGAACACCAGATAGATAGCCCCTCCAACGTGGACACCCATCTGGATGCTGCGCGCCAGATGGCGCCCAAATCCACTTACCTATTCCCAAGTCATCACAGTCACTCGTTTGGCTGCCGTATGTAACACTCTTGAATCTCACCATGGATGAACTGCCGTTTCTCTTCGGTTTCTATGTAGAACAAGTCATCTCCCATACTTTGGCGTGTTTTCTAGCTGTCCCTTCATTTCTTTCCAGATTCCGAAATTGTGTAGAGGAAATTTTTAAAGTATGGTTTTTCGATTTCTATTTATGAAATCAATCTAAAAAAAAGTAGCAAAAACTATTTCACTGATATCCACAAGGTTATACAATATACTTGCGAAATTTATTGTTTTTATAGCTCTATTGTTGTAATATAAGTTAGCTACAGCCCCTTTTCGATGAAAATTGAATTCATAAAGTATGACTAGAATCTTTGAGAGGATCTTCACTAAATCCAGACTTCTTTTGTTGGACATTTGCAGAAACGTTTTCACCCAAAACATACGATTACACTGTAACCCAAAGTTCGAGCCTTACGGGAAGTTCTGTCCTTTTATGCGCTTAAGACGCCCTATAAATATCACGCACAAATTTCGCACTTAACGAATGCACTAAGGTCATGTATTTTTAGCTTGGGGTGGAAAGCATTGTGGTTTCCTAATGTAGATTTTTATTGCCGAGGTCAGTTTGATATAAAAAAAGAACCAATCTCATCGCTGTTCGTCGATACATCAATCTAACTCACAGGCGTACGAGGATCACTAAAGGAGGACGGAAATTGGCAAAGGCCATATACGAAACGAAAGGCGGTAGGTGACACCTACGAATAAACAATTATACAACATTCGTTTCGGATTTAGCGAAATGTGACTCTCGCCTCGCAGCATGGAGGGGATTTGTTACAACAAGTTTTATTTTATGAGGGTTTGTACAAGGAAAAAAGTATTCGTAATGTTTGGGTTGTCTGAAAATTTGGTTATCCTGTGTTTTATCTATATAACCGTCATCGATTTCAATAGTTAGTTTTACATGTAAAACACACGCATGGATTTTTGTCAATGGTGGACTATCTATAAAAAACCTTAGCGAAATTGACATATCCCAAGGCCTGGACCATAAGCCTCCTTCTCTGTCCCGTTATGATCTCTTAGCGGCGAATGTCAAGGTATCACATTTTACACATGAAAAATAATATGGCTTAATATTTGGATGAATTTGCGGTTGTATTTTAAAATGGATTAAGTATTTCCAAAATATCTTTAGTTCAAGGGACCGTAACGAAAAAGCCTAAGCGAAGCAGAAATGCGCTGCATCAGAGCATAAAAATTTCTGCTTTGACTGTCGCTTTTAGCCAGTTTTCCATGCTCGGGTGCATCAAGGATCGTATTCATTCGAGAAAGTCAATTTTGATTCACTCTGATCTGTAAATTTCTTGAGTACCACCCCCACTGCATGATTTTTGGATGTTCTACGCTTTCTTGAACGCTGCGCTGGGTGCACATTTTTGACGTTAACCGATGAAAACATTTGTTGTCGATGTGTGCCCCACTTTACTGCTGACAGATTAGAGAGCTATAAAAAAGTGCTAAAAATTGATCACGAGAGGATGTCGTTTACAGAGACAAGATTAAAGAGGATTAAGAGAGACATCAATTCTATTTTAAAACATAATTTATTTAACATGAACGTTAAGGATCAAAAAGCAAGTAGGTAAGCAAAGAAAAGCAAGTTACTGATGGGGAATGAATTTGAAGTACAGTTTGAATAATATCCCTTAGAAATCACCAAAGTAGTCGCGTCAATTTTCAAGGTCCACGGGTGCGATATATGATGAAGCTTCAGCAGACATATGAATCTGAGGAATTTTACACATGAACAATTTTTTCCTTTCTCGAGTCTGTCGAAAAAGCGTACAACTAACTACCGTAACTACCAGTTCTTGATAATTTAACAAAATTATTTCAAATTACAAGATCTGGAAAATAGTTCCTAGTTTTTTTACTAATCTCATTACGAGTAGAGCATTCTTAATCGACTCTAACAGGATAGTCTAACCAATATGTGAGTAGGAAGAATAATAAGTAGACAAAATAGCGTCAAACTTAAGATCTTTTCTTTAAACCTGTCTGAAAAGATAATGATACCAGTATGGCGATTCATTTACATAATCTGCTCGGGGGTAAACCAACCATGAAGTGACATACTGAGTAACAGGTTGACTTTATGAAGACTCTTTATTCGGCTTATGCGAAATATTCATTATGTCACTTGTGAGCAGAACACTTTCTGGTATGTTGGCATAAATAGCTAACCAGGGTATTTAATTAAAAACTTCACGGCTCACGTTGGGTAAAAGTGAAAAAGAAGACCATGGGGCGATACATCCCAACAGTTTGGGCGGTTTTCATATCCCTCTGTTTTCTAGGAATTGGTAAAGGTATGCAGAGGGGAAACTTTTCAAAAACTATGGAAATTGGCAGGGTTGCTAAATTGTGTTCATAAAAAAGATAATTTTACATAATACTAAATTTAGGCAGTGGTTTCAAGAAAAAAACCTTAAAAGCTGAAGTAGGTTGTGTTTCATGATATGAAATAGAATATTTCTGTTTAAGTCTTTAAAAGCAAAAAAGGAACTTCAAACTTTAGCAAGCTATTTTACAAGGTTATTTACAGCATATTTGAGTGTGTGGATCGGAAGATCTTAAAATAGCAGATCGGTCCAACTCCTAGTATTCTAAAAAATTGTTCAGTTGCACAGGGGGAAAAACGGCCAAATTCCAAAACGGCCAAATTCCAAATCCTTTATGAGCACACGGTAAAAATTTGTAGAACTGTAGGCTTCTTCGTTTACGAATCAAGAAAGATACTCGGGAACTGAAAGAATTATGTCACAATAAATTGATAAGTTGCAGCAGCATATCAGCAGGTGACTTTACTGTAGGGAACCAACACTTAATTTCAACTCGCAAATAGATTTGAGGGGATCAAATCCGCAACGAATTAGTTGTCTTCTAGTTTAATTTACTTTAAGAACTACACCTGTAGGTCAGTTTAGTACCACCCTGTTGATATAACCAGCTGGTTAAAAACAATTGCTTTTGACCTCAGTTTATTATGCCAACCCGTCATCAAAAGCACACATTCATGCTACATACCTCAACTTAATAGAAGTGATATGGATCAGTGAGGTCGGTTAAGAAAATGAACCTTCCGGTAAAAGTTACTTATTCCCCTACAAAAATTTGCATGACCAAGAAGGGGATACTCCACCGCAGTATTCAGTGGTCACCCCAGTAAATAATGCTCGTTTGTTTGATTTTCATCAGGTCAAGAGGCACCTGAGGGCACTGCCAGTGGAAATGGTCCTGAAAGTAGCATACCTCCAGGTATCTCTTAAATCAGCAAAGACTTCAGTAGAAACATTTATAGGAGACATATTGCCTATATAATTTCTCTTTGTTTTAGGTGAAGACGGTTTCATCATAACTTTGGAAGTACTTTCCGGTGTTCCTGACCCACAATGGACGATTCGACAGGATGACGAAAAGTTCAGTGAGGTACAAAACCTTTACAAAAATGCGGAAAAACATAAACCGGAGGAGGCACCAGCAAAGCTCGGATACGAGGGATTTGTAGTACAGGAGGTGAGGAAGGGACATTACCAGCCATTGGTATTGATTGTGGGTCCTGAAACAGAGGAGCTGCAGCTACTCTTACTCCGGACCAGCCCTCCTAATAAGATTTCGACGAGTCTCAACAATATCGTCGAAGGAGAAATTCGGAGTGGAAATGTCAATGCCGTAAAAAGAAGTAGAGCGAAACGTTACGCACCCCCTTATCAGCCCGGAAGATGGAACGACAATGTCCACGTGCTGTTAAACAACTGCTACAACTACGCAAGCACAAACAGGACTGACACCTTTGCACAGCCCGGGAAAGCGACGAGGAAACCGCTTCCGTGGACTTTTACCGGAGATGACGTGAAGAAATCAGCAACGTCGGATGGGTGTGTTTTTGTGAAGGCCAAGAAAACTATGTCTGCTCCTTCTGGTAATGAACACCTTGTGGCTTTAGTTGTTTCCACTAGTAAGTACCTACAACATTACTGACTAATTATCGGTTAGCCTTATAAACGTCGCAAGAATGACTAACCTCGTGGTCCATCTTAGTTATAAAGCTTGCATACTTGCAAACTTACAGAAGCATAAAGATTTGCTCGAGAATGGACATTAGTCTTTAGTACTTTCAGACTTTTCTCGAACGATATTAATGCAACTCGGGTGAAAAGGCTTATGGGAAAAAAGAAGTAAGCAACACGAAACTAAAATAAAATGAAACTCCCGCAAAATCAGTTTTCATGCTGCAAGGGATTTCAAAGGGATGTTTCTCAAAACCTAGTACAGGAAGCCCTAATGCATGAGATTTGTTTCAAAAAGACCCTTTTTATTGTCGTGAGTATGATCAGTTCATATTTACTTTCACAGGGATTGTCAACGATTACCACTGGTACCGACTGGACAATAATGGATACTGGTCTCACAAACCTGGCCGAACCCCTGCCACTGATCGTGACGGGAATGGAGACAGGATACGTGATCCAAGAAAAGCTGCCAATGGTTTCATACCCTATGAATTTGTTTGTTTCATGAAAATCAATAGGTTCACTCTAAAAATCGCTTGAGTTTAAAAAGTATCTGTTAAGAAATCTGATCAATATTACATAAGTGTAACTCAAACTTAAAACTTCAACAATTAGCCCTGAAAAGAAGTAAATAAAATGACTGTTTGAGAACACGAACATCTTTGTCAGTTCAATGTTGTCTTTTGCCGCTTCTTCCTCGTCAGCTCATCACTATTTTTTGTAGTTTTTTAGATAATTATATCTTAACTAGGCTCGCTACAAAAAAAATTTGATTCATTACCCGCACGTTATAATTTTGACAAGATACCATTGGCTCAAAAATGTATGACTGCTTTAGAATGGCGAAATAACTCTCGCTTTTTCATTTTGTGTAGCTTTTTGAGTGGGAAACTCCTTATTTTAAGTTATTTAGTGAAATGAAAGCTTTTAAAATACAATTCACTGAAAGCACAAGGGGGTTCCATCTGATGCCTTTTGTATGAGTATAACCAGAGAGAGGATGACCCTAATAAATCGAAAAGTCTAGGTCTTCCTCACTGCCGCTGAAACTCAGTCCAATCCCCTTCGTCAAATTGTATGTGCGCTGATATAAAATCCCCTCTGAAGAAAACTAGTTTTGAAAGCTAAATGAGTTCATTTCTCTTGATGAAACGAAAGAAGCAAACTAATGTTAAAAACACCGACGCATCTGGTTCATTCTAAAATTACTATCTCGAAGTAATGGCTATCTTGGTAATTTAGTGTTAACAACTGGGTTGAAAACGTAAATTAACCACCGTAAAGAGTAAAAAAGCTGACGTTTCGAGCGTTAGCCCTTCGTCAGAGCGATCGCTCTGTCAGCTTTTTTACTCTTTACGGTGGCTAATTTACGTTTTCAACCCAGTTGTTAACACTAAATTACCTGCTATACTCTCCCACCAACGCAGCACCACAGTTTCTTTAGAAACTTACCCCTTTATTCATAATGGCTATCTTGGATTGTTCAGTCGACAAACTTCTTCTACAAATGAAATAAACTGCACGCAAAGGTCTCACGCAGTAAGGACAATATGACGTACACACGATTTCTTAATGTTTCTAATTTCTTCGAAACGATTATCTGTTTTCTAAGCAACAACAAAAAAACACTCCCAACTCAAGAGAAAAGTTTTATAAGCATAACAGATTTTGTTTTTTGCTCGTCGTGGATGCGGTGCGCTTCTCGTAGCATTTAAGACAATTGAACATAACCAGCCTAACGATAAAGGCGGTTGGGCTCGTAGATGATTTTTAGATTATCTAGGAATTGATGGTTTCGGGAAAAATAAGCAGAGAGATCTACCGAATCAAGAAGGTCAAAACAAAGATATACAATACATCGGAGCATAAGTATTTCTGCCTTGACTTCGACTTGTGGTTAACTTTGCACGCTCGAATAACTCTCGGGGTCTTTCTGTCCACGAACATATAAATTGTTGGTCATTCAAGGAAAAATTTACTTCAACTGACTACAAATGTCCATTGTACCGTACTTTCATTAAGGCTACAGAAAAGTTTAGACAAAGAAAGGTATTTTTGACGTGAATAGATACACAACCCCAAAATCTATCAGTGTTTCACTTAAGCTAAGTGACAGCGAAATAGCCTGAGTCGTGTTAGAATTTATAACAACCTATATGTCACTTATTAACAGAAAATTTTCAGGAACAAGATTAAGAATGATATAAATGCTAAAAGCATCATTCCATTGGCCTGACCTGGGTGAAAAATGAACTAAGGATAGCTACAAATGGAACAAACCCATATCAAACGACAACTATAATAGAATCAAACAGTGGTCACTTCATTGTTCAAGATTTGATCCTCGGGAAAATTAAAAGAAAAGAACGTTAAGTTGCATAGCTACAAGTTCTATATGACAGAGCTCTATCTAAGACATGAAATTTGGGTAATTTCAGGGGGAATTTTCATGCCTTTGTTGAGTTGAAAAGCAGTATCACGATTTGTGGAACTCGTACACTTTACACTGCTTTTTAACTAGTTTGAGCTAATTTGTGGTTTCCGGGCCGTACGAAAATGAAAATGAAGATTTAAAATGAATTGTTCTCACCACTTAAATAAAGATCAAAGTTCTCATGACAAGATCAAATATCTTTGAAACAAACTATAAAACTTAACATAGAATTGTACAAATTTTCTTCAAAACCCGTTAACAAAACAAGCGATACCCGGTTGCTGACTCATTAACATAATCTGCTTAGAAGCAAATTGACCATGAAGTAACAAACTGAGAAACAGGTTGACAGATTCTTTATGCGGCTTATTCGAAATATTCATTATGTCACTTGTGAGCAGAAAAATGCTTGGTATATTGAAATATATAGATAATCAGGGAATTCCTTTAAGACCAAACTTCTGGGTTCACGTTGGAAGCAAGTGAAACAAGAAGACGATGGGACGATACTTCCAGACAGTTTGGGCGGTTTTCATATCCCTTTGTTTCCTAGGAATTACCAAAGGTATGAAAAGGTGAAAAATTTCAAAGGCGACTGTGGTTCGTAGACTAGTTAAACTGTGTACCTAACGTATTACTTTGTTCATAACTGAAACATTGGTGTCATTTAAGAACACTCTTAGTTGGATTCTGTGGGGTTTTTTTTAATTGAATGAATACTAAACCATTTAAATGTAAAGAAATAATTGCGAACTCAGACAAGCTGTTTTGAGGTGCTAATACATATGCATATACAGTTCATGAGATGCCATGAATCACAGTGTTTTGGAATTCAAGCAAGTCCAAGTCTAAGTTGTTTAAAAATTGCTTTAAATTACTTCTCGGCACAGAAGCATTTCTACCAATCTCGGCCTCGGAAACTCAAGCTACTCTTAAATACTCTTCTGGTTCTTGATCAGCCTTTTGAACTATCATCATATTAAGAATATTAGTTTTCAATTCACAAATGCATCACGAAAACACAATCGAATGCTTTTTTCTTCTATTTAACGATTTGAAAACATATAAGGAAAACTTTGTTTAGCGCAAAGCCGTATACATTTCAGTTCTAATTAATCAATATTGCGTTCATTAATTTCATTAACTAAGCTCTCCATAGAAATTTTTCAAAATAAAATTGAGTGGGGTTGCGAATTTGGAGAAGTCGGATTAGTTGAATGTCTTCTGCCATTTTTTTTTTTTTTTTTTTTTTTGCGACTCCGTTACCGACATTGTCCAAAGATTACGAGGTTTGTAAGTCCGTTTTACGCATTTTTTTTCTGCACGTGATCAAAACGGGCAAGATTGCCCGCTCAAGTAGCCAATCAGAACATGACTCGATGCATCCTGCTCAGTGGGACCGTCAGTTTTAGAATGAATGGTTATGATGGTGTTACTACTATCATCATAAAAGGACACGGTTGATCATTCCTATAAGATAACCGAGTTATTACGTGTTTATTACGCTGTTTGGTTTAATACTTGCAAACTGTTCTTGTAGTTCATGCAATTTCCTCGTTATATTTTAGCTGGATGGAAGTAAGAGTACATTTGAAGTCAGTCATAAAGATTGAGTTCGTCTAACGCAGGGTTCAAACTTCAAAAAACTTTAGAATAATTTGTTTTGGCGTGTGTTAAGGAGGAAACTAGCTACAGAGCGCACTACGCACGAAAGGCTGTAAGGAATAGTTCAGTCTTCTTTAATCATCGATGTTTATTATAATTCTACTTTCGTAAAATTTACTTCTCGCACTTCTCTTCCCCAGTCTGACTCTGACTGACTGATCAACTCTGATTTTCTATCTCTGATTTACTCGTACTTACTCAGAGTAACTCTGATCGCCTGACCGCGAACTCTCTATACCATAAAATATCTTATATCGACCATAAGTAGGCATGCGCGGACATGTTGGCCAACAATAACCCAAACAATTTCAAAAGAGTCTCATGAATGAATAACAACGCGCTTAATGATTCCAATCACACAATTAATCTTTGCCTGCCAAAGCCAAAACAAGAACTTTAGTGTGAATCCAAGGCAAGGTAAGAAGACTAACAAACTTAACACGTCCACTGAAGGAAGTTAGATAAAATAGTAGCTATTAGAAAACTCACCAAAACAACTTCGGACGAAGTAAACGAGAAATATATACGATGATGACTAAATTATACCTAACTAATTTGATCATTCACAACATTATATCGGCCTCAAAATGGTTCAATTAACATATTTCATTTCTATCAGGTGAAAGGGCATTTGAGCGCACCGTAAATGGAAATGGTCCTACAAGTAACATCCCTCCAGGTACTTCTCTACTCTACTGAGATTCAGGTAAATAATCACATAAAGGGAGGATGCATTGCTATGATAATTTATCTTTATTTTAGGTGAAGATGGCTTCATCGTAACTCTCGCGGTATTTTCCGGCGCTTTAAACCCACAATGGACGATTGGACAGAACGACCCAAACTTCAGTGAAGCACAAAGGCTTTTCAGAGCTGCGAACAAATACCAACTTGAGGAGGCACCACCAAAGCTTGGATATGAGGGATTTTTCGTGCAGGAGGTGAAGAAGGGGCAATATGAGCCATCGGTATTGATTGTAGGTCCTGAAACAGAGGAGCTACAGAAACTCTTGTTAGGGACTGGCCCTCCTGATAAGGTTTCGACAGCGCTGAACAGAGTCGTTATGAAAGAAATTCAGAGTAAAAATGTCAGACCAGCGAAAAGAAATCGAATGAAACGTTACGCGCCATGGTATCAGCCCAAAAAATGGAACGACGGCATTCATGTGTTTTCTAACAACTGTTACAACTATGCAAGCACAATCAGGACAGACACCTTTGCACAACCCGGGAGAAAGTCAAAGTTAACGTTTCCATTTCCATTTAATGGAGAAGACGTAAAAAGATTAGCAGAGGCCGATGGTTGTGTTTTCAAGGAAGCTAAAAAACACATGTGCGCTCCTTCCGGTGATGAACACTTGGTGGCACTTTTTGTTTCCACTGGTAGGTACTTTAAAGCAGTCCTAATATTGTATTGACAATAGCACTGGAAGATGAAAAATGTGATTACCACCCACATGGCTAGGAACGTAAGTGTAGGCAGCTTATGGGGTTTCTCGATAACTTTGGTGGTGAGGGCTACTGGCGAAGGAGACGGAGGTGAGGGTTTCAGCGACCCCTTCATAGTAGGACATTTCGCGAAAAATTTTTGTAGCGAAAATGAAGCGGCCAGAAGGAACGACAATCGTCTATAGCTGATATTCTAAGTGGAGAGGAAGGACTGTGATTTTTTTTTATGGCGCTTAACATAACAGGATAATGACTCCGGCCATGCAGGATACAAACCCTAACTTTTCCAGATTTAAGGACGCTTCCCAAACACTCTTATTTCCATCGCAGCCTTTCTTTGGACTCTCACGCAGCGCTCCCCCATGGGCGTGGCGTGACTAAAGAACGGCTGCGAGGGAGACTAAACACCCTAAACACACAAATTGTTAAAGTTATTATGAAATTTATCGCTTTTTATTTCCTTTAGAAATAGGTCTTGAAGATTACCATTGGTACCGATTGGACAATAATGGATACTGGTCTCACAAAGCTGGCGGCACCCCTGCCACTGACCTTGATGGAAATGGAAACAAGATCCGTGATCCGAGAAAAGCTGCCAATGGTTACATACCCTATAAATTTGTTTGCTTCATGACCATCGACAGAACAACTATTCAAATCGAGTAAATTTCTGCCATGATCCTGATCCGTTTGGTCATTCAATGAATCTAACGTAGTCCAGAAATGTACAAACAAATAGTTCTAACAGGTTGAAATAAAAGGATTATTTGTAGAAATAAAATAAATGGCTTTTTTTGTCATCTCCTACTCAACAGCTCAACAGGTCACAGTTTATGTTTCAGAGAGGGCAGTTTTAATGGTTGTATCCTACTTTGATTCACAGCCTACATGTTGTATAAAGTCTAATTTGGTTGGTCTGTGGCTCAAGCAAATGTCATCCAGCCTTTCTGCTGTTCCCTGCTTCTGTGCTCCTTATAAGCTCGAGGGAATTTAAATCTTGGGATTATTTATTCCTTTCGATACAAGCCAAAGAAAGCCTTCCTTCCGAATTCTGTAACTGAATGTTAGCCTCAGAAACGATTGATTTAACAGAGTTTACTTTAAAACATACAGCTACAACAAATCTTTCGTTGAAACTGACCCTCTTTTTGAAGGAGTGTTTGCCTTGGGAGACAACAATTAAGTATTTTCCAAATTGCATTCGAGTTTAAGGAAGCTTGCTCGAGAAGATGGCCCCTCTCAGAGTGATCAAGAATTATTCTGCAATGTTGCAGATGACGGTCATAAACACGACTGAGAGAGATCATCACATCACATCCGGTAACTGAATATCGAGTGAAAAGATTGTCTAACATGTACCTTCGAAAAAAATTCCTGATACGGATAGAACAACGAAGTGATATTATGGGTGGCAACCACAACAGGGCCTCTCTTCACTTCCCTATCACAGTATCATGTCACCTTTTGAGTAAATAGTTGAAGGCACTTCAAATTCGCAAATAATCTTCCATTTCTTTTTAGAAAAATATTATGGTTTAAAGTATCGAAGGCTGTACCAAAGTCTAACAAAAACCCTCATACACCTATATTATTTTATACATATTTCCTAGGAGTATCAACAATTCATGCCATAACTTATGCTGTGGAAATATTCCGCTCGCTTAATACGGATGAAGTTGATAAGGGAGATAATGCTTCTTCAAATAATGTGATGGTTGCTCACAAATTATTTCTTGAAAGATTTGTGTTAGAGCTGAAAGTGTGTAAATCTGGCGATGATTGGAATAATCAAATTTGTTTCCTTTCTTGTCAAAAGTTTTGAAAAGAACCTGAAGTATTTATTGACCAATTTATTGATTGATGTCTATTGTCAAAGCGTCATAAATATGGTTAGAAGCAAGTTTGACATACTTCTGGGAAATGCCCTCGTCGATTTTTCCACGTTCAGATTTTTAACTTAGTCATGAACCTCGCATTCAGAAATATTGTGGAACATAAAATTATTACGGACGTATAATTGCCACTCGTTGGTAATTTCACCGCCAACGTTTCCCTTGGAAGAATTTCAGAGATACATCCAAACCATGCCTGAATTTGTTTCTCATTATCTATACGAGCGTTTCGTGTCTTACTGACACCCACGTGGGTTATTTCGAAAGTAGACTGATTGAAAGTGCAGTCCCCTAGTGAAATTAGTCATTCGTATTCAGTGCACAACCAGTCAATGGATGACAATTTTCTGTCTTGCATATGCCACGTATACTAGTACAGGTGAAGGAGTTGAAAGGGTTGAACAGAATTCTTTAGGACAAAATTTCGCTAGAGGGGGGGGGGGGGGGGGGCAAAACGACACACGCCTAAGTATCATGATTTAAACAGGACACAGAGCATCATAGATGGGACTTAATGGTCGTAATGAGTCTTACGCTTTTTGCTCTCCAAGGACACTCTAAAGATCAGCACTGAAAGACTGCGAGGCGTCTTTGTTTCACGTAAAGTTAACAATATTGAAAACTTCTTCATCTTAAGTCATGATTAGTTTCAATGAAATGTTACATAAGTGTACAAAAATGATAGCATTTGTTTTTGTCTTAAGAAAGGAACAAAGAAATTGTGGTACCAATTCATTTCCTTCTGTAATGTTTTTGCCTAGGTCTGGAATAACTGTTTTTGGCTTTACCACTACTCTAACTGGACTTTCTTTTCCGATTCTATTACAATACCAAACTAAAGAAACTTTATAACTGGTCACCAGTTCCTTGTAATCGAAGGTATCACATAAAATTTCGAGCGAAGTGCAATTCCGTTGAGTTGAAAGAAAACTTGTGTAATAAAACATCGCACAAAGCACCTAAAAATATATTTTATTTTAAAACGCAACATTGCGTGATGCTAACGTTAGGTGAAATGAAATTGCAGAAGATGACAGATTAGGGCAAAAAGCTGAGGTAACCTGCCATAGATCAGTATTCCACCCAGTGGAAAACAGTATCATTCGTCTCGCGTTACTATGGGAAATTGAATCATGCTCTGACAATGTGCACAGCCATCGCATGAGGATGACTCAGGCTTCCATCTTTTGTAAGGGGGTGTTTTTCTTCGTACAGAGGATATTTCAGCGAAAGTCCACAAAAATATATTTTCAGTAACTTACTTGAGTTCCCCCTATAGGGAGTAATATAAAAGGAAAGGAAAGGCAGTCATATAAAGCAGAACAGCAACAGATATTTTGTCAGATGACACTTAAGAATTATTGTGGACCGTCTGATATTGAAGTTTTGGGATATCAAAGCTGATTGAGTACACTACAAAAACCTTAAATAAATCAATTTGCAGATAAATAGATAAAGCAAAAATATATCTACCAGTTTTAGATGCAAAAGGCTTCATTTTAACTCTGAGGGTTTTTCTGGTCGTCTAAACCCGAAGTGGATGATAAATAAAAATCATCCATCGTACCGAAAAGTGGAAAGTCGTTTGGCGAGTGGGATCACATACCAGCCCAAAAGTGGACCTTCGAAGCTTTGTTGCAGAGGATTTCTTGTGGGAAAGGTAAACACCAAAGGAGGAACTAAGCGTGTTAGTTTTCCAAACACAAAACGTCCTCAGCTGCTGTTACTCCAAACTATCCCTAGGGGTACGAGATCGGACGCGACAAAAGGAGTTGTAGAGAATGGAATCAAAACGGGAACCGTCACAGACGTCGATAAAGATTCCACAAAACGTTTTTCACCGTGGTACAAACCTAAGGAGAGAAACGATCGTAAGGCTGAAGAATCAAACAATTGTTACAACTTCGCCAATGACAAGAAAACGAACACTTTTGCACAACCAGGATGAGCAGGAGGTGAACCCCTTGATGACACATTAAATGATGAAGATCTTATACGTTCTGATGGTTTGAACGTTGCGCCAAGTCCAAAACACGTGTGTGCACCTGCTGGAAAGAGACATCTGGTGGCTGTATTTATTTACTGGGGTTAATATTACCTTGCTTGGGAAATGCTACGCTAGGGTAAGTGGGCATGTAATGATTCCCCTATGCTAGAATTAAAGCATTTTAATCGAATATGTTTGAGAGAAACGGCCAAAAATAGAAGAATAATTAGAGGCGTTCTAACATCTTACAGGAAGAGAGGATAAGGCGCCACTTTATCCTCTCTTGCTTACAGATATTAGGTATAAGAGTAAACAAAAAAACACATCCTCGATCTAAAGACAAAACACAAAGAAAATTAAGCTCTACAAGAATTTATAATACCTGAGGGAAAACGATTCCAATATTAAGAAAGGTAAGAACGGTTTTTGAAAGAATGCTCATTAGGTTTTTTTCTAATTAATAGAGAAACGGAACTATTCCAAAATGACGTCCGATAATAGTTGGGAGAACTGATTGCCGAAAGTTTGTTCTTAAAGGGGCTGGATATAAGTGCTGTAACTCAACAATTCTAGCATTGTAAATATATTTCCCAGATACCTAACATAAGTCAAAGTTGGAAGATGTCCATAGATAAATTAAAGGGAAAGAGTTAAGCAATACGGGAAATTTCAAGATATCAAGTTAACTATAATAAAGAGTAGTAACGAAGTGGAACGTCTTTAATAATTATAATTACCTTATTCTACAGACTGATACTGTTGGACAGTGCTGATCATAGATATTATCCCACAGTGCACGTTCATAACAAAGAAGAGAACAAGCAAGCAAACTGTAGTTACCAAACAGAGACAAGCTTCGTCGATCTGATTACAAAAAGAAAAAAAGGAATTAATAGTAATAAGGGTACTATAATCTATAACCAATGAGAGAGTGGGATTTCGCAGTTAACAAAAAGGGTATTACCAAATATTGTCAACAAGATAGTGATTTGATTTACATCACAATTTTCAGGTTTTCACGCTGTTACGAAAGGTTGTTACAGGAGGTCGTCATGAAGAGAGCCATAAATGAGTTGAGCAGGAAGGAAATTTGTACAGTTATCTTTCCTATGTTCGAATACGTGCACGTGAAAGAACTTGTTGCAGTGAAGAAAAATATTGCAAAGTGGTCACGTAATAGAAATTAGAAATTTTAATTTTTGGTGCCACAAAAAACTAATTATATATTTGCTTGCTTGCTCTCAGAATGGCTCAAGTCACCCTGTTTGCGGGGAAAATTGGGGCGAAAATTGTCTCATTTGTCTAAAGGGAGGGCTTGAAGTCCTCATGTGTGGTGATCAAGCAGTCCACCCACTCAGCTTGCTTGATAGGTGAAGGGGAAACAACGAATATTCCACTTCAGATGCACTCAATGCAGGTCAGTTCCTCTGAAAAATTGAAAGGTGTTACGAGTAACTTTGGGGATTCGCTCCAAAGTATTCGTTCGTGTTAGGGCACCAAGACTCCTCATCTGGTTTTCTTCTTTACTCTGCTATTTCTTCTGATTGTACTACGGCAACTAGACAATTTATCAGCTAACTGATCAGGTCCAATACGCGTTCTTAAGTGATTTATTGGTGAATATGTTTAGGTTAGAAGACTGTCGATTTTGAAGAATTAAACCTCTCTGTAAAATTACTTCTCCAAACATTTGCACAAGGTTTCTAGAAGTGAAAAAAAAGCAAAGTTCCTCACGATTAAATGTCGATAGTTGAAAGCAAAAACAACAAACAGGAACTATGTTATTGATCCAAGCCAAGGCGATCAGACAAAACCAAACAGGAACTATGTTGATACTGTTGTTCCTTTGTTGTTCAACGCAAAT